TCTAAAGCAGCGAAGTTTTACCAGTAATGAGTGATGTTTTTGACTCTGGATAAGATAAAAATGTGAGCGAAGGAGCCCAGTGCTAGAGCGCCCATTCGATGATTTCCAGAGTCACTGTGGCCCCGGGGGTTTTACTCACTCCTTCCAGCACCCACAGAAAGACACAGTGATAGCTCAGCTCCCCGCTAAGTGTGAACTCGTTTCTCTTCCTTGAGAGGGAGAAGAGTTTAACCCTGGATTGGCAGAGCTGTCTGATTTCCCACGATCCTTCTCATCCTTGTCATTCTCCTACTCATCGTGTGCTGTCGACACACTGGGTGCAGAACAGTGTTGTGGGGGTGAAGGTTAAAGAGGAGACCCTGTAAGGGCTGTTGTGGTGACTCTCGTGAACCTTGTGATGCCACAGAAGAGCTCTCCTCTGCCACTCGGGGCATCTACTGTACTAAGGACTCTCATTGTTGGGTACAAGTGGACTCACAGTGTACAGTGAGGATGAATGGTGGAACAACAGTGACTCTGAGGACCCCACTTCTCATCAGTGACAATCAACCTGGAGCACTGAGCATGAAAGCCACTCCCCCATCCTGAGTCCCAGCTCCTTTTACTCCCCCCTCCCATTCCCTCCTCTCCACCATCAACAGATATCAAGTCCTAAGGCTGACTCCCAACACAATTTCACATTCCCTCCCCAATACATCCAATACATCACTGCAACTACAGAAAACAGACAGAAACGTGATGAATGAAGAATAAAATACACTATGTCTTCTGTGCATTAACCCACCAGATGGGGAGGAGTGGGCAGCTGGAAAGAATGGGGAGCAGGTCTGCTATTGGAGAAGCCAGTGTGACAATCAGGCTCTGGTCTGAACCAAATGTGGGGATGGGTGTCCCACACACTTTAATGTTAGGGTGACTTACAGTGTCTTGGACATTGCACACAGCTGCGGGGTAAACCAGCTATGCTAACAACCAGTTTGCAGGTGGCCAGTGGAGGCTCAGGACATTTAGATTCCAAACTGGTTGCCCAGAGATCTGTGAGACTCACACACCAAGGATTGAACAACCTGGGAGGATGGAGAGATACATGGCCCTCAGACTATCTCCCTTAGGGACGAGGCTGCTTTAGTAGCCAATTACATTTAATTTCCTGCAAAGAGCCAGGGGCTCATGCTTTTGGGACTAGCACCAACTGACAAATAGCTGCTTTTGCAGAATCCTATTTCATTTTTCCCTTGGCACTGTAGGCTAGAAATCCAACAAGGAGGGAGCACTGGAAACAGACTGGATTAGCAAACCAGAAAACAGCCCTGGTCACAGGTCTCTTCTAAAGTAGGAAGAAACCAAAGTCTAGGGGAAATGGAAGGCTGTGGCAGCAATGTTGGATCAGAAGCTAAAGCCCAGTTACAGAGTCTTTACCCTGTGGTAGCCAGCCTCCAGCAGGGCCCCAATGATCCTTGCCTCAGAGTTTGTCCTCTCCCACCCTGACTGGGGATGACCTGTGTAACCAAAAGAATTTTGCAGAAATCATGGAGTTTGACTTTTAAGGCTAGGTCGTACAAAGACGTCATAGCTTCTGCCTTGTCCTCTCTTGGATCACTTGTCTTATGGGAAGCCAGCTGCCATGTCACAAGGACACTCAAGCAGCACTGAGGAGGCGTCCTTGTGGCAAGGGCTTGAATTCTCCTGCCAATAGCCAGCATCACCATTAACATGAAGGAGCCTAAAGCACATCCTCCAGCCCAGTCAAACCTTCAGATGATCACAGCCCTGGCCAGCATCTTGATTGCAACCTCAGGAGAGACCCTGAGCCAGAACCACCCAGGTGAGCTGCTTTCAAATTCCTGACCCACGCAAACCGTGTGAGATAGTATTTAGGGTCGTTTTACGTCACTAGCTTTTGGTGTAATGTATTATGCAGCAAATGCATCATTAATGCACCCTGCCAGGTGTACCATTAAGTCTATTAATGCAGGAAACTGACTTTGTCCCTGGTGGGAAGCCTTGTCAGCGTGTCTCAAATGGATGGCCTTCTTCTTTCAGAATATTAGTATCTCCTGAGATAAATGGGTATCCAGCGCAGCAACCTGCCTTTCTGCTTCTCTTCATCCATACCTTCCTCAACTATTGTGCCAAGCAAACACAGACATGTACATATGCATATATACACATGCACACACACACGACTTTCTTTTTAACCTGAAAAATCACCAAATCACTCAAGCGCCGAAAAATATGAACTTTTTTCCAGGAAGAACCAGATGCTTTGGATGTTTTAAGTACTATTTCTCACTCCGTCTCTGAATGGACAGATGGCGGGGGCGGGGAGAACACAGCTGACTACTGAGAATTGATTGATGGGTCTGTTCTCCTTTGCTAGTCATATAATTCTGAGCTGAGTGAGCAAGAGCAGGGGAGGAAAGCCACAGCCACAAATCCGTGCATTCCCAAATTTGTTTAAATATTTCAGAATGGGATTTCTCCTTTTCTCTCATTTCCCCATCCCATTTACCACCACAGGTGAGGAGAGTCTTTGATGAGATAAAAGCACAGAGGCTTTGTGAACATAATAAATAGCCCATCCAAATTATGGTAGATACCATCAAGCTATTGTAAGAGAAACATTTCCTCACTGTACAGAAGTTCTGCTATGAAGAACCCGAAAGATGTGAGGCTCTGAGTATCTGCAGGTCCTTCCCCTCCAGGTTGGGGGCCAAGAAGAAGGCTTAGAGCTTGGAAAGCCTTGCAGCATTCTCCTTGGCTAGAGTGGGCCCTGAAGGCAGAGGCAAAAGGTAGAAAACAGGGGAATAGAGAAGAGCAGAGAAGAAGGGGCACCAGGGAGAAAACTCCGATAGTCACCCAGAGTGGACCTGCATGGGTTGAAAGATGGCCAGGTGGGAAACTATTTCTCAGCCTCCTGTGTGCTTCTTTTTATTTCTGTCAGAGAACTCTACCTGTCTGTCCTTCCAAGTATGGAGTCATATCTGAAGGGTTACGTGGGAAATATTCTCATCACGAGGTGAGTAGGGTCATGGAGGTCCTTCTCTAGAAAGAGTCATGGCTGATCATGACCACAGTTGGGGGAGACAGTGTTCTCCCGGCGTGTCTGAGCAGAGTGGATATCAGAGGCCCCATGTCACTGTCCCTGGCCCTGGATTCTCCAGGAACTGATCCTGTGTCTGCTCATCTCCATCCCTGCATCTTCCCCTGCTGAGTTCTGCCACCAACCCTGGTGAATCCCAGGTTTCCAGCCCTGGTCTCCTGCCTGTGATCCATCCCTGATTTCAGCTGTGCATAGACTTTCCTTCTCTTGGTTATCTGAGCCTCACCTCACACTCAACATGTCCAATTTAGAATTCCACAAAGACTCCTTTTCTCCATGATCTTATTTCTGGCAATAAAAGCCAGCTGGGAACTTGGAGTTATCTCAGATCTTCTTTCCTCAGGCCCTAAATCCATCCTGCCGGTGGCCCTGAGGTCTTTCCCTTAAACTGTACCTTCGCTATGCTCAATGATGGGCTGTGCTCAGGGCCCCCACCCTTTGCAAACTCTCATCCCGACAGGTCTGAAATGTTCTCTTTTCTTTCTTTGTTCCCTTCATCCCCCTCATATTTCCAAGTTTGAAACAATTGGTCCCATTTCCTTAAGCCTCACCTGACCCCTCAAGACTACATCTGCCTCCTTTCTTGAACTTCTATTCCTCCTATTCAAAGGCAATTGTTAATGAGGGCCTCCTGTGTGCAATGTGCCAAGTGCCAGTCGGGCAACAACAGTGACGTTCCGGGCTTCCAGGAGATTACAGTCTAGTAATCATAACACCAATTAATAACTTTTGTTTTTCTCTTTCTTTTTGAAAAAATATCTTTTCATTGATTTTTAGAGAGATATGAAGAGTGAAACATCGATGAGAAAGAAACATCGACTCACTGGCCTCCTGCATGGCCCCCACTGAGGATGGTGCCCACAACCCAGGCAAGTGCCCGGACTGGGAATCAAACCAACGACCTCTCGGGCATTGGGCCGACACTTAACTACTGAGCCACACCAGCTGGGCTATTTCCTCTTTCTTAACTGTGCTTCCCCAACCAAATTCTTAAATAGCCACGACTGTGTCTTAAACAACTTTTTGTAAAATCCACAGTGACTGTTAGATTACAGGGCACACGACATGTTCTTACTACTTGTTGGTTATATGCAAGACAGGTAATAGAATCAGATAAAAAAAAATACATGTCAACTACAATCCTTATCTAGGTTACAGAAACATCTTTGGTATGAAGGGAAAAAACCCGTCAAAAAATTAAAGAAACCAGGCTGTGTTTGAATGGTGTTTTACATGTCTAATCAATAAATCAATTTAACTTGTCAAATTATTTTTAATATAATCATTGATAGTCCATTCCCCAAATACCATAATCTTGAAATAATAATCACATTATAAGATTAATGATTCAAAGCACATTAGTAATTCAAAGGTAGATATCTGGAATTTCCTAAGAGATTTTACAAGACAGAAATAGAAGCAAATTGAGAAGCACTGAACACAACTCTTAGGTAAAATCATTCTATTCTATTAAGGACAAGAGTATTGATAGGATCCCAACACACAAGAGAACCATGACATCCTCTCTGCAAGGGTCGCCTGGACCAGGGACAGAACTGGGCTCAGATAATACTGATATGTCCTTTTTAAATGCCCCAGTAAAAAGACTTTAGTGAATCAGAAGTAGAGAAATCTCATTTCTCCAAAATGTAAAACTCTTTTTGATATAAGAAAAAAATGGGTAGATATTTCACTCCTCCCAGCCTTAAATGAGCATAGTTTTGATTCTTTGTTCAGAGGACCTAGTATGTACCTCAGTTTAGACTACAAGGAATGCATGTCAGTCCAGCCTGGTAGAGATCTGCGTGTGCTAAACAGCTCAAGAACACAGAGTCATAAATTTGTCTCAGATACATGTTTACTGTGAAAGTAAATCTTTAAGAAAATTCTTACTCACCTGCCAGAATATGCTATCTATTGTGTTTCCAAGAAAACCATCACGGCCTTCTGAAGACACCAGTTTCGGGCCAAGAATTGTCATGAATTCATCAAAATCCACCTGGCCATCCCCTGGAAGAAGAAGATATAAATATAAATGGAAAAGTAGTTGAAATTGACTTACTATGCCCCATGAAATAAACATCTTCATATTTTCCTCCTTAGCATGACCTCAATAAATAACTAGTGGCATTACTGCAAGTTGTGCAACATTCTTCAAATACCAAAAGAAATACAAGAAATTATTGGTTATTATTAGTACATTCAATACCACATATCCCTAATTACTTGTCAGTATTTCTATCTAAATGCTCAACCAGCACCTCAAATTGCCCAACTATACATGATAAAAATTGCAGCTTCATTCATATCTCTTCCTTCATCTTTGTCACTCACAAATACATTTAGTCATCACGTTTTATTGAATTCACCTCTTAGATACCTGTGGCTGTTTTATTTTTCTTGTTAGTCCAATTGCATATCCCTTTCCAAAGACTATGATGGGAAAGTGATTCCAAGGATTAAAATTCCTAGTTATAATTATAATGTTATTAGAATTGCTTTCTGACCTCACACTCTCAACTCCTCACTTTCCTCCAAACAATTCCAAGTTTACTTCCCTTAAACGCATCTCATCATGCTTTATAAATCAATTCATCTCTGAAAATAAGGAAACCACCTCAGGGTAGCATTCAAGTCCCATTACCCCTTCTGTCACCTTTTTCTCCCCACCTCTGCACAAAATGCCCTGCTCTTTCAGAGCTTCAGGCCTCTGTACATCTGTGATGCTTTCCCCCACTGGTTTACCTGATGAACACCATAAGTCAGTGGTTCTCAACCTTCCTAATGCCGCAACCCTTTAATACAGTTCCTCATGTTGTGGTGACCCCAACCATAAAATTATTTTCGTTGCTACTTTATAACTGTAATTTTGCTACTGTTATGAATCGTAATGTAAATATCTGATATGCAGGATGCATTTTCATTGTTACAAATTGAACATAATTAAAGCATAGTGATTAATCACAAAAACAATATGTAATAATATATGTGTTTTACGATGGTCTTAGGCGACCCCTGTGAAAGAGTTGTTCGACCCCCAAAGGGGTCTCGACCCACAGGTTGGCGACCCACAGGTTGAGAACCGCTGCCATTAAGTGCTCTAAGATGGAGCTTAAATATCATAATTTCTTTCCATTTTCTTCCTGACCCTTCCTCATCTCACTTGACAGAGTTGGCCCAACTTTTTTCTGTCTCTCCTACTAACTTAATGTGCATCCTTTACAGAACTTATCACCTGTATCTCAGTCACTGATTTGCATGCCTATCTCCCACCTGGACTGTGAGCCCTGCAAGGTCAGGGACCTACGCTGAAACTTCTTTGTACATTCAACACCGTGGTGGGCCGTCAGTATGTGCTTGTGGAATGAACAGGTGCTGTCTCTTGCTTGATTTTCTGTTGCTCAGTTCAGCATCCATTGGATCTTTCAAGCCTGAGTTGCTACTGACCAAAAGGTAAACTTGAGCCAAGGCAGACAAAAGCTGACCTTCAAGGTCTTGCCCAAGCCTCAGTGACCCATCAGTGTGGCATTCCTAATGAGTCATTGAGGCTTGGACGATACCTTGAAAGTTTTGTCCAAGAGAGAGTCTCCACCAAGAGCTCACCACATCTTGGCTCCCAACCATGAAGACGGTGTCTGCACACAAATTTGCCAAAGCGCAGACATTGATCCACCCCCAGAATGCAATTGCCTTTAAAAATATATTTTATTGATTTTTTTACAGAGAGGCAGGGAGAGGGATAGAGAGTTAGAAACATCGATGAGAGAGAAACATCAATCAGCTGCCTCCTGCACACCTCCCACTGGGGATGTGCCCGCAACCAAGGCACATGCCCTTGACTGGAATCGAACCTGGGACCCTTCAGTCCGTGGGCCGAAGCTCTATCCACTGAGCCAAATCGGTTAGGGCGTGCAATTGCCTTTAAAGAGCCTTCATTCAAAACCTATTTCAAAAATCCAAGCAGATGTCATCATCAAGATGTCAATAATTCAGTTAAAGCTTTCTAGAAGATAAAGGAGGCATGAGAAGTCAATGGGAAAGAACAGACTTCGCCACCAAATGAGGTGGGGCAGTCAGTGGGCTATTGAGAGGAAACTGATTTATCTCTCAACCTTCACTAAGATAAAGGGATCTAAAATTTCACCCTCATTGATCACCATAAGAAAGCTAATGCAAGCAACAATGCATTACCATCTTGCCTTTCAAAGTAGAGAATACTTGTAAAAAGGGTACTGCTCAAGCCTGGCAGAGGTCCAGAGAAGAGCCCGGCTCTCTTCTGCATTCCCAGCACACTTATCTGAATATTGGATATTGACGGGCAGTATTTAAGGTGCTGTAACATATGTTCTTTTTAACATAATAACTTCACTTTTTAATAATAAAAAAAAAAAAAAGAAAACAAGGAAATTATCTTACACACTGACCAAGATGCTTGCCTAAAGATAATCATCTAGTATTTGTGAAAGTGGAAAATTGGAAGCTGGGAGAGAGAATACCCAGGCTTCCTAAACTTCATACTGAGCTGGCTCTATGTGGCTCTAAGTCTCAGACAGGCACGCTTGTTATGCACATGCACTGACCCTCGGTGTTGTGTTACATGCCACTGGGTTGGCTCTGACTCCTGGTGACCCCATGAATGAGCGATGTCCACAGTGTCCTGCCCTCAACAGCCCTGCTCAGCTCCTGTAGACTCAAGGCCATGGCTTCTTTTATGGAGTCAATCCATCTCATATTTGGTCTTCCTCTATTTCTGTTCACCCCAAATCACCCCTGCTATTATAGGTGGGAATGGAGGGCCAACGAGTCTCAGACTAAAATATCCATTTTCAATAGAGACACTAGCTCCCTCAATAAAGTGAAAAGTGATTCTTAGAGGACAAAAAAAGATCTTAGATATTATAATGGTTTGTGGCCCTTCTGGGACCACAGTGCATAAAGAGATAGATAGTATATCTTCCTATTACAATTTCATGGGGGTAGGGCAGCTATGGAAACAAATGTCCTAAGGCTCCTGGGGGTGCGGTGGCTACTTAAAAAAGAAGGTCGAGAAACACTGCACTAGAAGATGTCCTGAGTACTATGGTTGTCCTTCCCCGGGCCCTCCCTCCCATTAGCAGTGGATCAACATTATCCCAACTCTCTATCACCCATGACGAGGTCCGGCAGTTCATAAAGGCTTAGCATTTCATGACCCCTTAACTACCAGGCTTGGTCACTCAAGCTCCTGCCCACGGAGCATTGCTGTCTCTCAATTGGGAGCCTTGTAGGGGAGTGGTCCATAGGACGTGGCAAAAGACCTGCTTCTCATTGCCAGGGAAATGGGATTGTCTTTGAACAGTCCACCTTCCAGGTAGGAGGAGAGGCCACCCACCTCTCCAAAACCTCCCCCCAGGGCGATGGGAGTAAAGCAGCATGCAATTGGTGCATTTCAAGGGTCCACATGGAACTCTGGTCAAATCACCAAGGAATGCTCACAGAGGGCGCCCTTGGCTGAGAACACCAAACCCAAAGCTGAGAAGCAGACACAATGCTTCAAAACTTTCCTGGCGCTGGCTAACTGCTCTTTTATGACTCAATCCTTGGCCAGAGGGGAAGCGCTGAGGGCGAGGTGCTCAGGATCCCGTGGGCAGTGCCAACTGCAGTGCAGAACAGGTGGCTTGGTGCAGACTTTCTGATGCTGGGAGAAGAGGTCTAGTTCACGGAGGATTTGCTTCCAGCTACTTAGCAGAGGACATCTGGAACATCAGATTATTTTATTGGTGGAAATATGATTCCACCGCTCCTTGTTAACTATCATCGAGCAAAGGGAGATTCCTGCAGGAGAAATAATCAGGGTGGGGGTCCCCATCTCTCTGCATCTCTCTCAGGACTTCCTCAGCCTGACTCCTGAGGATGTGTGTACACAGCACATTTTCTGCAGACCTTCCATAAGTGAGGGCTCCTCTTGCTACGGCACAATTTGACAGCACAAGGTTCTATTCAGATTTCCTGGGAGGAAAAGCTCTCTTCAGCAGTTTGCAGTTTTAACAAACAGAACTGGAAACGCCCTATAAGCTATCAATCCTGGCCCCAGAATACCAGCCCCACAGCCCCATCCCCTCACTCCATCATCTCAGGAGAACTGAGACAAACGGAATCTCAGAGAGAGGTTTTTCACTAAGTCCCCTGTAGGAAAACCATTCCCAGGCCGAGGTAAGGTCTGGGAAGCCGGATAATGATCGAAATATCTACTTACTGAGCACTCATTCACAATGTGCTGGGCACCGTGTAAAGAAATTTCTTTACACTAGTTCATTTAAGTCTTTCAGCAGCCCATTTTACAGATGAGAAAACTGAGGCACAGAGAGGTTCAGTAGCCTGCTGAAGCTCATGCAACTAGCAGAGCTGGATTCCAAACCCAGCAGTCTGCTTGTGCTTTTGCTGCATCTCAGGAGGCTGGGTCATGCATGGGACTGTCTGGAACCTTCTTTCCCCCTTCCCCAGCATTTCCTGGCAGGTAACTATAGGCAAAGTGAAATCTACATTGCTCTCTCTGATCTAGTTGTTGTGTCTCAGGTCAACCTCTAGAGGTCTTTCTTAATCATTTAAAAGACTAATAATAAAAGAAAGAGGAGATATGTATTTTACAGACACTGAGATCGGGGCTTTACATTTTATTATCTTGTTTGATTTTATCCCAACACTATGAACAAGTTCTGCCCTTCCACATTTGCCCATGAGAAAACTTAGGCATAAGAGGTTAAAAGCAACAAGATCAAGGCCATGCAGCACTTATCAGCTTGGAACCCTGATATTAACCTCCACGTTGTACCGTCCCCGCTTCTGCATCAGGGATCCCAGCATAAGTCCTGGCATAGGCTCATATCTCTTTTCAAAGTGTGAGAGTCTAACATGGTTTCCTATCTGGGCATTTAGGAAGGAATTTAGTGGGAGATTGGGAGAGATGGCCGTTAAGGGTTCTAATGCAAAAGATCATTGCCTGAAAGCCATTTATTTGTTCCCCAAATTTC